GAGTCAGGATTTCCTGTGGGTGCTCTGACTCTCCTGTGATGGAAAGCCCCTCATTAGGGAACACTGTGCTTTCCCATGGCCCCTTTTCCCCCTCTCCTTACTCCCTTCCCTGCCTCTTTCTCCACCCCACACAGTCACAGATGCTCCAAAGGAGGAGACGGGATCTGTAAGGGGAGTCCTCTCCTCTCATGTCCTAGATTGGAAAGGAATAGGAGAGGAGCCGGGATTTCCTTTTGGAGCTGGAAGCTGCCCCTCTTCTCTGCCCACCCAGGGTTGGCCCAGGAGTGGAGCCTGCACAGCAGGCTGACCATGGTGTAGAGAGGATAGGTGTGGGGGCCAGTTTGGAGAAATAGAAGGGTGGAGGTGGGAGGGATAACGTGGCTGCAGAGCGGCTGGAGAATCCTTGTTTAATGTCCAAGTCATTCCAGATTCCCCTGTTTAATTCAGGGGAATTAACATTCTTAATGTTGTTCGCAAAGTGGAGAGTCTAGGAAGTGAGAAGGGAAAGGCATCGATTCTAAACATGACAATATGCAACATTTAGTAATGTGTCTTTTTATGGGGGACCCCAAGCACCGCATACCCCAGATGCACAGTCTCAGGGGTGTCCTGACGGCCAGGCTTGGTAGTGCCATCTGTGGGGCATTTCCTTTGAAGAGCTAGTTGCCCTGAGGGTTGGTTATGGAGTGGAATGAGGTGATGGGGTGAAGCCACAACGTTGTGGCACATTTGGGATTTTCATGCAAAGGTATTTTTCTGTAAAAGCGTCATTTATATTCCATCAGGTCTCACCATCTTTTTCAAGTTATAGAAACAGAATCAAACCTTCTTAAGTAAAAATTGGCAGTTTGTTGGCTCACACCATTGAAAAGAGATGGTTTCTGGTGGGTCTGAATCCCAGGGTCCAAAGCTGTCAGCAGGACACTGAATTTCTCTTCCTCCTTGCTAGACTCCATTCTCAGGCAGGCACATTTCCAAGGCAGAGCAGGCACAAACCCCAGACTTAGGTCATCTGCCAGGCTGGCCATCCCAGGACAAGGGGGCTGTCAGCTCTGCGGGAGCCCTGCTAGGACCTTTCTCCCGGTGGTGGGTGGATGGGGTGGGGCAGGGCCATTCCCACCTGGACTCCACGGAACTAGGGTCCCATAGAAAGAAAGGGAGTGCTCGCCTGGAGGAGAGAAGGGCTGCTGGGTAGAAACCCCACATAGGCTCACTGTACGCACCCAGTACGATACAAACAGGTGCATAAATGGCAAAAACAAGTGGTAAAGTCAGCATTAGAAACTGCATTCCTGCCAGTTATTAATGACCATCCAGTTAGGGACATAAAACAGGAATAAACACATAGAGCTATGATTCTCAGCTCAATAAACCTGCAGCTCATCAGCTGTGTTGGAGGACAGACCCAGTGTAGGCTCAGCTCAATAATCTGGCCGCTCATCAGCTGTTTTGGAGGACAGAGGCGGTGTAGGCGCAGCTCAATAAACCAGCCGCTTA